CGGAATGGACGTGTTAACACAACATACCTCAATTACGATCAATTTTAAAGGAAATAAAGAGCCCTTAAAGTTCTTTCTGGCAGCAAAGAGTATGAAGTGTACTACTTACGCATTGATACCTGGAGTGGATATTGACAAAATTAAGCCAGTCGCTACAACATCACGACAGGTTCCTAAAAATAACTCCTTCATAACAGACGAGATAAACCGTATGTTAAAGCAAGATATAATCCAAGTGAGCCGTAGTCCTTGGCGTGCACAATGTTTTGTAGTATCATCAGGAAACAAAAATCGTCTTGTGATTGATTATTCAAATACAATCAACCTACACACTCCACTCGATTCATACCCAACACCTCGAATCGACGATTTGATACTTAAGATAGCTGCTCATAAAGTCTTCAGTACAATTGACCTCAAATCGGCTTACCATCAGGTAAAAATACGACCTGAAGATTACAAGCTAACCGCATTCAAAGCAAATGGCAGACTATACGAGTTTAAACGTTTACCTTTTGGTTGCACAAATGCTGTACCAATTTTTCAGCGGGTTATGGATGAATTTATTCAAAATAATAAACTAGAAAATAAATATGCTTACCTCGATGATATAACTATTGGTGGAAAAGATGACCAAGAGCACGATAAAAATCTTAGCCGTTTCCTACACGCAGCTCAAATCGCCAACGTAGAAATAAACAAAGAAAAGAGCAAATTTAAAAAAACTCACATCGAATTTATAGGTCATATCATTTAAAATGGAACCTTAAAACCCGACCCTAAAAGATATAAAGCTCTTATAAATATGCCAAAACCAAAACACTTAAAAGAATTAAACCGAATGATAGGTTTATTCGCCTACTACGCTAAATGGATACATAACTGTAACGAGTTCACTCTACCGCTTACTCAAGCAAGAGACAACTTTCCAACGAAGGGCTTGACCCCACAGGCAAAAGAAGTAATTAAAAAGCTCAAAATTAAACTTGCAGAAGCTTGTCTAGCCTCCCCCAATTTCAAAGTTCCACTAACTATTGAAACAGATGCCTCTGACACAGCACTGGGAGGAACGTTACTTCAACTAGGCAGACCCATAAGGCAGGTCTTCTTCTCAAGAATACTATCAAACGCTGAAAGAAAACACGCAATTGTCGAGAAAGAAGCAGCTGCTATAGTAGAATGCTGTAGAAGATGGAAACACCTAATGAATTCAGTACCATACATCATTATAATTACAGACCAAAGATCCATTTCCCTTATTTTCAATAAACAGATTTCAACAAAAATTAAAAACGAAAAACTAACTCGATGGCGTTTAGAATTAGCAGATATTAATTACACAATTTCATACAGACCAGGAAATCAAAATATCGTAACCGATGCTCTTTCTCGATGTTGCTCAATTCAAAACACCAATAAAACCTTTTACAATATTCACTCCCAACTATGTCATCCTGGAATTAAAAAAAAATGATACATTATTGCAAAATCTACCTTACTCTACCACTGAAATTAAACAACTAACAAGCCAATGTACAACCTGTAACGAACTCAAACCACGCTTCTACAAACTTCCAGCTGGTCGTCTTATTCAGGCTACGAGACCTTGGGAACGCTCATCTATGGACTTTGTTGGACCTTTACAATCCACCTCAGCTAATAAATACATCCTTGTGATAGTAGACGAATACTCTCGCTACCCATTTGCATTCCCTTATAAGGATATAACAGCCAACACTGTGATACAACACCTTCTCAGTCTTTTTTTATTATTTAGTGCACCATCATCTATGCATACAGATCGAGGAACACAGTTTGAAAGTATATCACTTAAGGTTTTCCTAGAAAGAAACGGTGTCATCCGAACTCGAACTACTCTATATCATCCATAAGGCAACGGTCAATGTAAAAGAATGAATGGAACAATACTTAAAGCTGTTAGTCTGGCTCTAAAAACATTGAGTCTGGGAAAAGATAGATGGGAGGTAGCATTGCAAATGGCTCTATCCTCTATAAGAGGACTTCTGTGTACTGCTACGAACGAGACACCTCATCAGAGGATGATGAACTTTCAGCGTTCATCAATAATAGGTACAGTTCTATCAAACTTCTTAACAGAACAGGATTCGACAATTTTATACAGACGTCAGATACAATTAAAGGGAGATCCACTTGTCGACAGAGTTCAACTATAAGAAACAATATCGCCTCATTTCGCACGCGTGAAACTTCAAAATGGAAAAATTGATACAGTTTCAACAAAAGATCTTGCTCCACTACAAGATAGAAATCCCTTAATAGAACCAGTCCAACAACAGTCCGAATGCTCGAACAATGACGAAATTGTCATTAGTAACAACAACCACAATTCTGGAAATAGAAAACAAGTTGAATTAAATGATACCAACAAAGTAGTTCCGAACCTACTTTATCCGTTCGGAAATCCAATAAAAGATAGCTTCTCTTATGATCAATCAACTACAACAGTACCTAACCAACCATCTATTCAAAAGGTTTTTACTCCTGACACACAACCTAATATAATCTCACGAACAGGACGTACTATTAAAAGGCCAAAGTATCTCGACGACTACTTTCTTTCTTAGAGTATTAACCAAGAGTAAGCCGTACTAAAACTTTCTTAAAACGGAGAAGACTGTTATATTCTTAAGAACTATGTATTTGACGTCAATCACGTCATTATAGAGTACGGTTGAATGAACTTAAGTTATTCTAATTATGTTTAATTGATGTGTTATAAAATCTGTTTTGTAGATCTTGAATTGTGTTTGATTTAATATTTGATAAAAGCCGAAAATATTTAATATAGACTTATTTATTACGGTTTCACAACACCCCTATTAAAAAAAGACCTTTTAAATACTTCGTTATTTTTTAAATATTTTTTTTCCGTTTTCAATTAAAACTTGTGTATAAAGTAGCGAACAATATTTTATCGTTTACATTCATCACAAAAATGATATATTTAGTTTTTATTAGTAAAAAAACTCATGCTCAAGAAGAAAGTGCTAATTATCAAACCTCAAAAACCAAAATATGCATGATTTGATTTAAATGTTTCCGACCCAAGTTGCGAAACATTCAAGAACCTTCTCAAGATTTTCTAGAACACGAGCGAACTCGGTTGGACAAAGATGTAACAGTTGACAAAAAAAAAAAAAAAAAAAAACGTTTCAGCAGGTCCAGGTAGAAAGTGCAAAGAAGATTTAGGTGATAGAGGCAGAAGGTAATAAAAGCCACTAGAGATCCGAACAAAAAAGACTTCGTTGTTCTCATAAAAGGTGCTACAAATTTTGAAAAAGTTAAATGCACAGAGATAAGTTTTCCGATAAAAATGAAAACCGAAGATGCATTGAGGTTAAAATTTAGTGTGACCTTTCTGATGAACAATACCAAATTATCAAAAATTCATTGATAATACATAATGCAGGTATTTATCTTTCACTTAATGAAATTAGTAATGAGACACAAATGTTATCCTGAGGGTTTAAATGTGATAGAAACATCTGCTTTAAAACTTACAGGGTATGTTTAATCATACTCTGACAAGGATATTAACTTTCACGAAATGCCAAGAGTCTAAGAGAATGTTTGCTGGAAATGGCACCATCAAAACCACCTTTAAAGGTCTACTTCACTTTAAAGGTGGTTTTGATGGTGCCTCGAGTGAAAGTGTCTATAAACAAAAATATATTGATACAAATATTGGTGAAGCCCAAGTTAACGAGCAAAGTCTTTTTCAGACAGCTATTGTTCCTCTTAAATTAATTATCATGAATAAAAATGCATGGTTAAATAAGAAGCCCTCACTAGTACATATCACTTACTACATCTCCAATATCAAATAAAGAGGAAGAATTGATAAGAAATCTATATGAACTTTTAAAGGCAGAAATGAATATACTAGTCAAGTTCTAGGTAAAGTTAGAAGTAGAGGAAGGCAAACCGGATACGGAGACTATCAAGTTTATGTGATTCCCCTAACTGTTCATAAACTCTTGGAACATGGTGTCCAGATATCTGAGGCATTAGAACTGCCAATTGGTTACTACTCTAAAGAGTCACTAGAGGCTCTGAATGAAGAAATTCCCAAAGCTAGATTGAACAATAAAGCCAGGATATCTAGAAAGAATGTTATGATAAACCAGTACCATTACCTCTTGATTAGAAGTGATCCTGTAATATCAATCAATTGTTTCAAAAAATACAAGCTTGCACACGGAAAAACACTTACCCCTGAAGTATTATCTTAGTTAATGCCGTAATAAAGAAATAAAGTTTTTTTTATTAATATTAAAATAATAAATATAAATGCATTATTTTAACCAGATATAGTTACATATAAGATTTTTTTCAGATGCAATTACATCTCGAGGAAATTATTTCAGATGTTATTGGACTTGGAGAAAAATTACCGGATTTAGTTACATCTTCCTAAAGATGTTGCTAGGGGTCATTGAATTTCCAGATCATATTGGACATATATTGTTTGAGTAAAAAAAATACAGATGATCTTGGGAAAAATTGTACAGATGATCTTAGACTACTGTATAGATGTTGTTGGACAGATGTAATCTTTTACCAGATCTCTTACTTCTTTTTTAAAAATAAATATAGCGTTGCGTAATTTATGGGCAACCCCTTTTCTAATTTTAATACTGATTTACAATAAAAGTTTTTTCTTTTTAATTTTCTACAGTTTCTTTGTTGATAAAAATTAAAGTAAATAAACAAGGTGAGGACGGGGGAGGGGAGGAGGCGGGATGGGATATTAGAATGCTTGAGGTGAGTGGGAAAACTTTCCAAAAAGCAATAGACTTCCCCTGCCATTTATTACCACCTGAGAGTTTTAATATTAGCATTATGCTCAGCTCGTTTGTCTGTATGAAACCATATAACAGACTATAGTTGCTCCCCCGTTTTTGGAAAGTAATTGCAAAAAGTAAAACTTTTTGCAAAAAAAAGTAAATAAAAAAATATTAGAAACTTTAAAGAAATCATAAAAATGATTTACAATTCAAACATAAAAACTAAAACTCTTTTTTCTGACTTTCAACAACAATCGACCTCGAGCTCTAAATAAAAGAAATGTACCTATCAAATCTGGTTAAATTTAATAATTAGGTTTTGTCATTTTGTTATGTTAAATTATATTTATAGTGTTTACCTGCAAAAACTTTTTTAGCAAAATAATTTTTGTTTTGATTTAATTTGAATACTTATGTATTTTTAAAATTTTTTGGAGTAACTCTTAAATTTTATTTTAATTTTTGAAATCTACTAGTTTAAATATATTTAAAAATAAGTAGATCTTTCATGTAAATAGAAAAAAAACTACCTGCTTTTAAAACAAATAAAAACGTTTTAATGCAAAAAACTATTCAGAAATATAATCTGTTGCAACTTTGGTCTTATGTAAAATCGTACATCTCTAATAATAAATCATTTTTACAATAAATCATTAAATGCTAGATAACGTTAATAACTCTATTAACCTCATTTTAATAAAAAAAATGTATTTAAATGGTTGTTTAAAAAAACAACAACTGCTAAAGGTAGTTTTTGTTAAATTTTGCTGAAACTAGAGAAGTATAAGATTATTAAAAACTGTTTAGGATGAAGAACTACTAAAAAAAATCAATTCAATAAAGAAATTGAAGTCAAATATGTAAAAAAAAACGTTTTATAAAAATTTTTCGCTCAGCGGAACACACAGGTCATAATATCTCAAAATATGCTCTGTGGCTATTTAAATATCTCAAAATATGCTCTGTAGCATATTTTGAGATATTTATTTAATTTTTTTTAAATTGTTGTGGCTTTTAAGTTATAAAATAATTAAAAAATAATAATAATAAAACTACAAATTTCTGTTAATATTATAGTTACAATAGAATCGTCAATACATTAAAAGCTACAAAAAGAAAATAAGATAACATGTCTGTAAGAAATATTTTTAATAAAGCGGTAAAGAAAAACCCAAATAACATGTTGAAAAAAATTTTTAACAATAAAAAGCTAAACCAGCAATACCAGTTAATTAGGTTTGTTATGATTTCTTAAATTTTTGAAAATATATTTTATTAAAACTTCAATGCGTAAATCTGAGCCTTTTTTGAAAGATGATCAACTATTAAATAGATAATTTACAACTATTAAATAGGCTAAAAATAATTTACAACATACAACTTATAATCATTTCAAAACTAAAAAAAAAAGAATAATACTAAAAACTACAAAATATTTGCTTATTCGATAAAAAAAGACATGAAAAATGAAGTGTTTTGAAAAAAAAAAAAAAAATTATATATATAAAAAGCAAAATTAAAAAAAACAACAACAAATAAACAAGAGCAAGTGAGAAAGTTTTATTTTATCATTAATGATTTCTATTATAAATATCTCCTTATATTTTACCACCTTGCAGTTTCAGAAACAATCGGAGAAAATATCTCCCTTATTTTCCCTAAACCCCCTAGATCTTATGACAATTTTGTTGCTGCTTAAGTTCGTTTATATTCATATTATACTACTTTATAGAACTTTAAAAACAAAAAACAAAATAATAATAGTAATAAGGTCAAAGAGGCTTAGAAAAAATGTGAAAGATGCCACTATTAATGCATATTTTTTAGATAGCAGGAAACGCAATTATGAGAATCTGGTTATAAATGTATGTTAGATCAGTTCTTTATATTTCAATCAATGGCCTGTGGGACACCTTCTTTGATTGGTTTTTACTTACCTTTATCTTCATTATGTAGATTAAAATTGAAATTTCAGACTTCCAAGTGCAACAGTTTAGACATTATAATCTTATAAACACAACACAATGGTCCCCCTTGATATACAAATGGTAAAAATAGACTACTAAGTCTAACTACTATAACATTTTCTCTAATTTTCAACAAGTGTTTCATTTTTTTTGAACTACTATTTAATAGATGGTTTTGTCTTTAAAATAGTGGTTTTAATTAACTTTTATAATATCATAGAGAAAAATATAACCTCAACATAAGAAAAAAAAAAAAAAAACTGTTTCAAAAAAGCCAAAATGTAGTTAACTGTAGTATTTTTCTATTCATCAACAAGTCTTTACAGGTAAGTTTTCTGATTAGCTACTATTGTCTGCAATAAATGTGCAAAATATGAGCAGCTTCTTTGTACTGATCTAAGATTAACAACATATAAGACAGTTAGACGCAACTATGTAAAAATACAAACATTTTTAAATTATATTTACATCCAAAGTGACAGCATTTTTTAATAACACTATTTTTCAATGATCAATGCTTGAGTGCAATATTGGAATCCAGTGTCCCTCCAACCTGCCTACTAACTCATGTGAGGGAAGCAACCAATTTTTCATTATTTCTTAAAAAAAAAAAGATCATGAAGGGAGCATCAGTTGGTTGCTCCCTTCATGATCTATTTATTATAGTGATGTAAATTTTCCAGTAAAATTTGACTCGAAATTTACCCGAAAATTTTACCTTCTCGACACTAATTTATTATAGTGGAAAAGAGGAAAAAAAAGGGCAGTAATTTTTTAGAGCTCTGTATTGTTTAAATGTG